AGGTGGTTAAAAGAAATTACTAAAATACAGACACTCCACGCATAACGACATACCTGCTTCACGACCCCGGACTTACAGCCAGCTACAAACTGTTTTCCGAGCAAAGACAAATGAAAAAAAAATCCAACCTGTCGGTTTATTTGGTTTATTTCGTTTTACAGCATATAAACCTGAATATATTCTTTAATATTTACAGTATTCTCCTCATCTTTATCGCCATGTTTATCACAACATTTCGGCCGTTGTACGCTCCAGCCTTCTTCAGGTGGTTGGAATATCGAACTGAACTCTTTATTTTGCTCAATGGCGCAAGAGTAGATAGCTGACAACTATTAGACAGGTGGAACTAGAACAGTCTACTCCAGTGAGCCAAATAAAGGGTTTAGTTCGACATTCCAACCACCTAAAGAAGGCCGGAGTGAACAACGACCGAAACGTTGTGATAAACATGGCGACAAAGACGAGGACAATAGTAGGAATAATGGAAATAGTGTACATAATAAATCAACACAGAAATATAGACAAAAAGATAAGGACAATCGTCCGAATAATGTAAATAAATACATAATATCTGATTTCAGAAATATAGACAGAAAGATGGGGATAATAGTCCCAATAATGTAAATAGTGTACATAATACCTCATCTTAGAAATATAGACAGAAAGATGAGGCCAATAGTTGGAATAATGTAAATAGTGTACATAATACCTCATCTCAGAAATATAGACAGAAATATGAGGACAATAGTCCGAATAATGTAAATAGTGTACATAATACCTCATCTCAGAAATATAGACAGAAATATGAGGACAATAGTCCGAATAATGTAAATAGTGTACATAATACCTCATCTCAGAAATATAGAGTGAAAGATGAGGACAATAGTCCGAATAATGTAAATAGTGTATATAATACCTCATCTCAGAAATATAGACAGAAAGATGAGGACAATAGTCGGAATAATGTAAATAGTGTACATAATACCTCATCTCAGAAATATAGACAGAAAGATGAGGACAATAGTCCGAATAATGTAAATAGTGTACATAATACCTCATCTCAGAAATATAGACAGTGTTCTTGAATGCCGACATGATTTTAGGATATGTTTATATGAAGAGAATATGTGTTCTCTGTAAGAAATTGGATTGTAAATTAGGTTTCATAGACGTATTTTTAAAGCGTGTTTCTGTTGAGAGTCAAATATATTGCTGCTAATTCTTTTTCTTTTTTTTTCCAAAATATATTGTTGGTGTTTTACTATAAAAAAAATATTTTTAGACTTTCATAGTGTTTTTGTCCGAAGTTTGGGTTTTAACTATTTTCCCATATCTGGAGCCCTTACAGGTGTTATCACCTCGGATCAGTGTGAATCTGGAAACAATAGTAATTAAAAGGTCGTTCTACGTTCCTCTAAACCTCCCGATCAGAGTCCCGAATAATGTAAATGCCGGATGTAAATAACAGAAAGATGAGGACTGAACAGAAATATTGAATAATGAGATTTATGAGCCGTAAAATAAAATAAAGCAGAGCATTTGAATGGTACCATATCGTTAAGCGAGGAGTAGATGTGCAATAAACGTTGGGATGGAATAGTGTGGAGATGGAAAGAAGATTGGAAAATGTAAATAGTGTAATAATCTCAAATATAGACAGAAAAGATGGGGACAATGGTCGGAATAATGTAAATAGTTACATAATACCTAAGATATAGGAGATGAGGACAAAGAATATAACACAAAATCACGTTTAGTGTTGTCCAAGTTGGGATTCCTAGAAAAGATTAAGAAAGACATTTTCTCTACCACTGTTCAACCGGTGGCTGGGCATTAAGTCATTTTTCTCTACCACTGTTCAACCGGTGGGTGGGCATTAATTCATTCTTCTCTACCACTGTTCAACCGGTGGCTGGGCATTAAGTGGGTTTTTTCTACCACTGTTCAACCGGTGGGTGGGCATTAATTCATTCTTTCTACCACTGTTCAACCGGTGTACCCATCGTTAAAGCGTGGGCATTAATTCATTTTTTCTACCACTGTTCAACCGGTGGGTGGGGCATCTACCACTGTTTCATTGGGCATTAATTCATTCTTCTCTACCACTGTTCAACCGGTGGCTGGGCATTAAGTCATTTTTCTCTACCACTGTTCAACCGGTGGCTGGGCATTGATTCATTCTTCTCTACCACTGTTCAACCGGTGCCTGGGCATTAAGTCATTTTTCTCTACCACTGTTCAACCGGTGGCTGGGCATTATGTCATTTTTCTCTACCACTGTTCAACCGGTGCCTGGGCATTAAGTCATTTTTCTCTACCCCCGTTCAACCGGTGGCTGGGCATTACGTCATTTTTCTCTAACACCGGTAAAACGGTGGTCAGGGCTCAAAGACTTAATAACGTTTTAAATTATTAATGGACGCGTGACTGTGTAGTTAGAATGTTCGGATGTTCGAATCTTACTATCGTCGATTTGTACGAAGGGGATTTCTTCTTGGGAGGATTGGCTAGACAGGAATATTCTTATAGAGGCGACCAGCCATCGATTAAATTATTATTCTTATGTTAATGACATTTTATTAAACTACTAGCAGCATGGCCTGGCGTTGCCTGTGCTTGATTCAAAAATCGTACGACTCATACAGCAATCGTTATCTCTTGACTTAAAATATTTTTGCCCTTCTTTGCCTTTAAAGGAGTGTCCTTTGCCGTGCTGATGTTGCTACATGCCTTACTTCTTGCCTATCTCACATTGCGAATTTTTTCTAAGCTCTATACTAAACATTAAATCTGTTACGAAAAACAAATCTTAACAAAATGAAGACAAAACGATCAGCTTTAAAAAAGGACTCGTAACTGGAAAAACCGAATGAAAAAAGAATGTTAACAACAAATACTTTTTCACACGCAACCCAGTTCTGCGGAATCTGAATCAACGTTGAGTTTAAGCAAGCGAATGAGCCAATTGGAGTAAAGTGCCATGCAGATTTATTTTTTTCCCACTTGTGACGAATGCAGCTATCGATTTTTTTTGCATGCTAGCATGCTAGTTAACATTCGTGTCATTCAGCTGTTGGCTCTCATGCTGGCCAATAGAATATTCCTAACTATTCGTGGCAGCCAGCTATAGGCTCTCACTTTGACCAGTAGAAAATGGCCGCAAACTACATGAAAACTGCCGTAAAAGCATGAAAAATCGATTATTTACACTATCGATGGGAGTTGGGAAATGCAAAGTCGGTCTTGGGCTTCCCGCTAACTTGGAGCATGTGCATGTAAATTTTGGTGCAAATCCGTCGAAAATTGCGGCCGTGCATTCGTTACACACACACTGCCTTTTATAGATGGAGATACGTTGCATAATTTATTATTGTGTATACTATAGTATATTGCTATGTTGTGGATAGTGAGATTTATTATTATATAGTATCCTGTATTAATTATAGAGGAGAACAGTAAACAAGAAATATATTTATGGAATGTATGCTGTATATGATTTGTATTTGCTTTGAATTATAATATCCGGGTGGGCTGTCGTCTATTCGAAACATCGATATTAGGTGAAATATTTGAAGGATATGGAACAGATTCGCGGTGACGTCACTGAGAGACCCAGGAATATGAAGGTTATATTCCAGGCCATTTCAGGTCTTAAACATGGGAAGAACGTCTACACAAAATTTATCGAACCAATCTTCAGAAACACCAACATACAGGTGGACTACTCTAGTTTCGGTTCCAAAATCAGACAAATATCACCAGAAGAAGGACAGAGCTACAACGGCCGAAACGTTATGAATGTGACAATAAAGACGAGCTTAACAATCCAAACAATTAGAAATTCATTGTTTGAATATAACATAATCTTAAAACGCATTCAGTACGATAGATATTACCATATGTTTCTTTACAAAGCAATAGTGAAAACGATGATGTTTTGGTTTTATCAGTAGATGATTAGATTTAACTTACCTAGTGCCATTCCATCGAAAGATATGAACAGTAGGTTAAAATATTCACGAAACCTCACTATTTCAAATGTGTGTCAGAATCTTTAGCCCCTACGCATATTTGCAGATTTTATTACACAGGGGTTTATGCTTACTTCACGTTGAAACACCAGTTTCCGTACGATCACCGAAGTTAAGCAACGTCGAGCCTGGTCAGTACCTAGGTGGTTGATAGCTTGGGAATACCAGGTTTATTAAGCTTGGATGTGCGGTTGGTGAAATGGATAATGGCTAGGAATTGCTAATCAGAGAGCCGAGTTCGAATTCCCGTCAGGTTTGTTATATTCCATTACGCGCAGTGCTGTTGTTTATTTTCAATTACTTAAAGTCCTTTCTACCTTCATCGAATGTCTTTATGTAATATAAAATACAAAAAACAAATCAACAAAACAATAAAAATAAAAACAACACTGATCTCCCCAAATATTAAAGAATTATGGCAACTCAACTTCCATTGACTGGGATATTATAACAAGAGTCAAATATTATAACGGAAAAGGAAATAAATGTAACTTATGACTTGTTGAAAAACTGGTTACCGTAAAACAATTATATAACCCTAGTTCAATAATCAAGAGAAATGAATTGATGGTTACATATAAGCCTAGGTGATCTAAATTCATTTTTAACATAAGTTACGGTTTATTTTTAGGTAAATTACAATTTGATTTTGCTTTTTAAATGAGAAAAAAGACACGTGATCTCGTTTTCATAATTTTTAATAAAAATTAATATTAGCTACTATGAAATAAAATTTCTTTATTTTTTCATTTTTTACAAATATATATGAAGCTTGTTTGTTTTAAATGCTAAATATAATTTTAAATATTAAATAACTGTAATGATAGTGTGTTTAATATATATGTACGACAAAATTACAGTAACCAGTTATATTTTAAAATTTAAGTTAGGTAACGCCCAGTCTATATTCAGCAGCTGAAGATTGCGTTGCGCATGAAACCCTGAGTCGTGCTATCAGTGAGGGATAATATGTACATCTATCTATCTATCTATCTATCTATCTATCTATCTATCTATCTATCTGTGTGTGTGTGTGTGTGTTGTGGTTTCCGCTCTCTAGTGAGTCTATTGTAGAGTCTTCCACTAAACTATAAAGTTACTAGGAAAGTAAGCCTGGGGGAAAAAAAGTGATATAGATGAAATGCTGGTCAACCGACACGCACTCCCAAGCGGGGGTAAGAAACTTCTGTTGTATTTACTGAGCAATTCACTATTTATCTGCAACCTCTTGTTTTATTTCTTACAACTAACTTGGTGACAACAATATATATATATATATATATATATATATATATATATATATATATATATATGTGTGTGTGTGTGTGTGTGTGTGTGTGTGTGTGTGTGTGTGAAAATATATAGAAAATAGGAAAGAACTCGTATTTCGTATTTTTGTTATTATTTTTAAAAATAGTGCTCGATACAAAAGTAGAGCATAAATATAATTATTAATTTAAAAAAATGATTCCAAAACGCTACATAAGAGTTCTCATGTTTCAAAACAAGAGCCGAAAACTTCAATATAATTATGTGAATTAAATTGAATTAAATTACTAATCTCTGTTCCATATTCAAGCGAAATATTTTGGGAACCAAAATTCAAAAAACAATCGCTTGAAGATGGAACAGAGATTAGTAATTTAATTCAATTTAATTCAAATAATTATATTGAAATTTTCGGCTCTTGTTTTGAAACATGAGAACTCTTATGTAGTGTGTGAATCATATTTTTGGAATATATTTTATATATATATATATATATATATATATATATATATATATATATATGTGTGTGTGTGTGTGTGTGTACTAGCAGTAGAGCCCGGCGTTGCCCGGGAATGTAATAGTAAGAGATAGATCAAGTATCGACCATCATAAAGACTGAAAAATAAAATTGACAAAGATTATTGTTTAAGGTTGACGGACACGCATCTTAATTATTTTTTTTTTTTTTTTTGTTTTTTTTTACGAATTGGTCAAACCCAAACTCAAACAAAAACCTTGTTTTCAATCGTTATGAATAGAATTTTATTATGAAAAATTGTCTTGTAAATGGAATTTTTAAAGCATTCTGAATGTAAAAATAAAGAAAAAGTGTGCAAGAGAATAAAAAACACTACCTGCCAAAAAAAAAGTGAAGTTTTGTTGAAATCGTTTGAAAAATGTAGGAAATCCGATCCCATATATAAACAACACACACACACACACACACACACACACACACACACACACACACACACACACACACACAGAGAGAGAGAAACAACCTGGGTTTTATAATAAGTATAACTCGATATGAGTTGTCCCCCTTTCATTCTGGCGACAGAATCGTGTTTTATCGTGTTTTCAAATTGATTTCATACAAAAACAATTGTGTTTTTCCAAATTTTGGCGCTGTCAGAACCACCGCAACGTCATTTTACACAGTCCTGTGAAGTTTTGTTGAAATCGGTTAAAAATGTAGGAAACACACACACACACACACACACACAATCTACGTTTTATAATAAGTAAGATATATATATATATATATATATATATATATATATATATATATATATAGATAGATAGATAGATAGATAGATAGTTATACTTACTTGTATGGATTTGAGTTTATGATCATGGGTTTCACTCTTTTGCGCTAATCAGACACAGGCAGTGTCAAAACTCATATACATACAAAGAGAATATGTTAGCACTATCACTGATATTGAACGCTTTCCACTAAGTTGTGGACATAAATATATATATATATATATACATATATATATATACACACACACACACACACACACACACACACACACATATATATATATATATATATATATATATATATATATATATATATATATATATATATAATAAATAGGGAACCAACCTTCCTGCTACTGCTGCTTCTGCGAATTAGTCATCGTCAGAGATTAATACTGGATATGTTTAGATATTTTGTATAAATTATCCAACTCCGATTCATAGCTTGTTAGTAAGAAGTTGCGAGCATGCTTGAATGCTGTCATGACCTCCGATCATTCCTTAAGCAGATTATGGTATTTTAGGTACAGGGATCTCAACAATTTCCCCTCTTGGTATAATTTACACAAACTTTTCTGCTGATTTTATACCTTGCTAGTTTTAGGATTTCTGATTATATGTCGCATTGAATGTTCCTGCTGTGTAGCCAATATTCTTTTGGGCATTTATAGGCTATAAACAAAATCCTCTACTAGGAACTTACATTTCAACGGACAATTTATTACATTCCGGCAATTGCATTTATTTCGCCCTCTTTCAAAAATGATATTGTGCAAACAAATGAAACTTATAGTAGTGGCTTGTCACTGTTTGCCTGGTTTTTCGAATGAATATATATATATATATATATATATATATATATATATATATATAATAATTTTGTATTAAATGGTCAAAGTCCGACAATTATTATTTTTTAAGACATTTTTTATGTTTATACGTTCTTTTTATAGATACGAATATTTAATTAAATGCTCTGTTTATAATAAACAGTATTAACAACATTTACAGGTCTGAAAGTACGATATTTTTTCATAGAAAATATGCCTCCTCCGACAGGAATCGAACCTGTATCCTATACGGGACCGTGGTATAGCTTGACGTGCCTTAACCGATTGGGCCATAGAGGAGCGTTTGGTTAGCAAGGTCAATTTTTACTGTTTTTAAGCACAATTCTCCATGATTTTCTCTCATACATTCATATCTGCTCAATCCGTATAGAAATGTAAACTAATGACGTCACACATTATGAAATGTACAAAGTTCAACAATTATTTTTTAAGACATTTTTTTTTATGTTTATATGTTCTTTTTGATTTTATATATCAACAAAGAGTATTTATAAAAATGGTATGACAAATTGGTAAAAAAAAGTTTTTGTGATTTGTTTCATCCGGTAAGATTACATCGGACTGGGCTTTGTTGATGTTGCCACGTCTACTCGTGCGCACGAAACGAGAGATACTGGTAGTTTCAACATTTTTGAAAGAGTATTTTTTTAAAGAATATTTTTTCAATCTAGCTGAATTCATCTCTATTATTTTTAGTTTTCTGTCCATCAGCGTTGTCCCTGACTATCCCATATTCTCACAACAGAAAATCTACCAAGAATAGTGATTGTAAGAACCTGGATGCATATTTACCGTGTAGCAAGAAAACAAGAAAAAAATCTTTAAAATTATTGTAACAATTAATGTTTGCAATTAGCTACTTTTTGACTCTCTCGTCCGCGACACTTGTAGCTAATTCAAAGTTCAATCAAAAATCTGTCGTAACAGTCCAACAGGCAACATTGTAATGACAAAACGGGGTCAGAAGTCCCACCTTCACTTCGCAACAGTAGAAATGCACATTCGTCCACCAAGCTAAAAAAAAAAATTGTTCTCTCGGTAAGCAAAAAAAAAAAAAACAAACAAAAAAACAAAAAACAACGGCCTTTATTCACCGAGGGATTTTTCTGATTGGTCACCCCATTCAAGGAGAAAAGGACATTAGCATAGTTTCTCTGATACATAATGTAGCAGGTTTTTGTTATTTTCTTTAATTCTTATTCGGCAGACCACACACAAAACAAGGACTCTTTTTCGGGATGGGTGATTTTCTCTTTCGTTTACAATGAACTAGCTGTCAAATCACTTTCCAGAGATTTACGTTTTAGCTGATTATTTTTTGTTTTAATCAAAGTAGAATTCTCTATGCGAGAACTGTGGTCAGTTTCTTTAAGGCAAACAACTGATTCGTTCTGTGTGTTCTTTTTTTTTTTAAATGTCTTTGATATATATATTTAGCGATTTGCAACATAGTTTATAAATTCAAGTGCCCTTTGGGAAATTGTATCTCTAACGAATTAAATAATATTTATGTTGGTCACACCACAAACTCGCTTTCACGACGCTTGACACTACATGTGAATGAAAACGCTAACATTTTTAGACATGAAAACAATAGACAAAAAATAAAAATCCTTGAAGCATTATACAACAAACAGTCAAAACCCAACCTAAACGAAATCAATTATGGCATCTCTACAAATATTCTTAAATGTCTATAATTGGTAACAGAAGCCATTGCTTTATACCAACGGCTTTCCATACTTCATACTTCTCCAATTCACTCTCGTGTGGTCATGTGTGACGTCATGAGATGCGGTGCTATTTTCGCTTCTAGCGTCTTATATGTACGCGTTTATCGTTGCTTAGAAATCATCTATGTAACAATGACAAACTATCATCACTGTCTTGTCCGTATATTGCTTAATATGTTGCAACTGACATCTTTGATAATGGCTTATGTAAGTCGAAAGCTTACATTGTATTAAAAATGGATCAATATTGGGAATTTTTGCTTCGTTCAACGATAATGTTATTAAACTTATTAGACGTTACGAAAAAAATTTACATAAAATAGACAACACTTGTCTATATTATTTAATGAAACGTATGAAATATATATATATATATATATATATATATATATATATATATATATATATATATTGATGCATGTTTCGTTAAATAATATAGATAAATTTTGTCTATTTATTTTATGTAGATTCTTTTCATATCGTCTGACACGCTTAATAACGTTATTAATAGGTGAAAAAAATCACCATATTGATACATATTTTTTTTAATCCTATCTAAGCTTTCGGCTTACATGAGCCATTATAAAAGATGACAATTACATTACAATATATTAACCAAAACACGGACAAAACAAGAATGATAGTCTGTTTTTGCTTGCATGAAAGATTTCCAAGCAACGACAAACACGTGCATACGAGACGCTGGGAGCGAAAATCGCACCGCAGCTCATGACGTCACACACGAACACGCGAGAGTGGAAAAGAGAAGTATTAAATATCGGAAGCCGTTGGTATATATATATATATATATATATATATATATATATGTGTGTGTGTGTGTGTGTGTGTGTGTGTGTGTGTGTGTGTGTATGTATGTATATATATATATATATATATATATATATATATATATATATATATATATATATATATATATATAAAGAGAGAGAGTTTTTTTGTGTAATAATTTTTCTGTTACAAATTCTACATCACTGGGAATCAAAATTGGTAAAGCGAATACGATTTCTTGAGTTCATTTTCAGCGTTCCCGCAACAGACTCATTGACACCCGAACCATGCAATACAAAAGGAAGAACATCAGATTTCAGAAGTAGTTTTCTCACTTGACCGACATTTTCTGCCCTATCTACGCACCTCATCTCAGCCATATATTGGAAATGGTTGAATGCTTTACGGTTATCGACCACTGACCCTCTCCTGGACGACAACAGTGTCCGCATCGGCGTTACCATAGTATCGGCTTTTGAATCTTCAGTTGTCATCATTGCCGCTACGGGGTCGCCATCGACCATTTCGTATCTCAAACGCCGCCATGGCTTTCTTTTCAGAGTTCGCGCTAGAACCAATAATGACCTGAAACGGTTAAGAGTGATAAAAACAAGAAGAAAGAAATTAAAGCAACTACCCACCTCTACCAAAAAAAGAAAAAAGTCAAAAGAATGAGATATGAACGAAAGAAAGATGAACTTGGAAAACAAAATTCAAAAGAATCCATCTGAAACGAAAAGAGATTGTAACTATCTTTATTGGAAGTCCAGTAGAAAAACAATAACTATACATCGAAAAGGTTTGCAACTTGGTCGCATCCGCCATTTTGCTTGACTCTGGACAAGTGGAGTAGTGTTTTTATATATATATATATATATATATATATATATATATATATATATATATATATGGTTTAATTCCCAATTTATAAATTTTCGCTAATTGCGATGGAACATCCGGTATAAGAGACCTACATGCGTGGGTTGCAAGACAACTCAACCGCGCCGACAGAACACCGCCGACTGCGCGCCAGGACAACTCAGAACCGAGACAATTCAGCACCAGAAAAACGCAACTTGTTCATAACCGAATAAATGTAATTTTTTAAAGCCTTAATTAGTGAATATTTTTACTTTATTAAAAAATAAATCTCTTTACGATTTACTTTATTTAAATAATCGTAGCAGACGATAAACACCGTTCTTTTTTTTTTTTTTGAAAATTCAAAGACTACTGAACATATCATATGGCGTCGCTGATTGGTTAATATATACGAATATGGAAATTCAAGTCTTTAGCCTACAAAATGCCAGAAAATGAGTTAATGTTTTAGTAATATAAATTAAATCTTTTGCATTTTTACAGTACTTACTATTTACCTAAGGAAGGTTACTGAACAGAATAATCACGCGAAGGTTGGTAATGAACGATAATACTTAGGACAAGAACAACACATATAAGATTCGCCAGCGAATTTAATTGGTAAATGAAGTGACTGATCGTATTGATTCACCGGAGTCACTTTCTATTGAGCCTTGCCGGTTGAATCTTATGAATTCAGTTTTAGCAGCATTTTCTAGCTAGATCATGTAGGAGAACTATAAAACTGTTTTCAGTGAAAGGTTGGTCATCTGCATAGTTAATATCTCTCATCTTTTTTAGCAGCATATCGACATGAATATCTTGGTGATAAAGTAAAACCTAGATGAACGTGCTTGTCGAGTAAAGGCCGAAATTAATGTGAGGTAACCGATCCTGTAGGCTCGGCCAAAAATTCCCCGTAGACACCGTATAAAACGGGGTCGGATAGCTGTTTGCCGAGACGGGGTCTTGCCTTTCGACATAGCATCGTCTGTGGATCCTCTCTTCCCGGAGTCAGAGAGTTTGACCAGCACAACTGGAGACGACTCTCCAACTGCAGACCAACATACAGTGTTTACTACTCTATTTATGTGAATGGGGACATACTCATTATCGTCCGTAGGTATGCTACAACACATAGTCAAGGGTGATAAATAAAAGAAAAAAAGGCGCACAAGGGTCAACCCGAAGGAGCCCAACTTTAATGTTCAAGAAGCTAGTGTACATGTCTAGTGATCTAGCTAAAGATTTCGTATTTTTGCCTAATATCATTATGGTATCTACTGTCTCTAGAGCGAGGATGCCATATGCCAGATGGATCTTCTATATTTTCCCCTATGTACAATATCGAAGGCTTTAAAGAAATCTATAAAAGATAAGGCAGTCTCAAGATTCTTCGACGTGACGCCCTCAATAATCCGCAGAATGGTCCAGTGGTTGATCTATTTTTTCGAAAGCCATTTTGATTTTTTTAGAGCGCCTTCTCTGCTTCAGCCAGTATCATCAGCGTACTTCGATTAAATTTCCTCTGAGCGCTCCATTCTTTTGCCCTTCACCAGTCTATGCTTCCTTAATATCTACAGCAAGATTCGTGTGTATCTAAGCAAGTGGGTTTGCGTGAATAAGGGATATATCTAATAATATACGCTCTATAAGTAACTGAGGAAAAGTCGTTCTTGTTAAGGGGTGTTCTAGCCGCTTCAAGACAAAATTGTTAGCAGCAAAACATGTCCTTCCCGTGGGGCACTGTTTACCATTCCAATCACTTACGGCCATTATGTTAAAGTTCGCTAAACTGCCATCGTTAGAACGAGCGGCGATTTCGCAAGTGCACGACAACGTGACGTCACAGGGCGCTCCGTCGTAAACGGTCGATCAGTGGAATGTCCACGCCCAGTTTGTCTCCAGTGTTTCTCCAACCGGCCACACTCAAATCGGACAGAGGCTGCAAGGGACAGACACGTGACCTGGATAACAAACTTGGTTTATATGATAAACTGGGTCTATTAGTAAACGTATCGAAACTGAATCTAGAGGCCTGTCGTATAAAGGAAGGAAGAAAGCCAGAGAATATCGACGCTTTCCAACCAAGAGCCATTTTGTTGAATGGGGAAGATATTGACCTTTTTTTTTTCCTTTTTTCTTTTCCCTGTTACTCCTTAATATCGATTCTATTTCGTTTTGCTGAGTTAATGAATTTCGCAACAATTACTTAACAAACGTTTCGCTACGTGATTTAATTGTTAAAAGAGAAAATTTTCAGTCATTTTGGCTATCTATCTATCTATCTATCTATCTATCTATCTATCTATCTATCTATCTTACTTTATTCAATATCTATCTATTTATCTATCTATCTATCTATGGCAGTCTGTTCATATCTATCTATCTATCTATCCTTATTCAATATATCTATCTATCTATCTATCTATCTATCTATGGCAGTCTGTTCATATCTATCTATCTATCTATCTATCTATCTATCCTTATTCAATATATCTATCTATCTATCTATCTATCTATCTATCTATCTATCTATCTATCTATGGCAGTCTGTTCATATCTATTTGTCTATCTATCTATCTATCTATCTATCTATCTATCTATCTATCTATCTATCTATCTATCTATCTATCTATCTATTATTATCTATCTTATTTATTCTATCTATCTATCTATCTATCTATCTATCTATCTATCTATCTATCTATGGCAGTCTGTTCATATCTATCTATCTATCTATCTATCTATCTATCTATATATCCTTATTCTATCTATCTATCTATCTATCTACCTTACTTTATTCAATATCTATCTATCTATCTATCTATCTATCTATCTATCTATCTATGGCAGTCTGTTCATATCTATCTATCTATCCTTATTCAATATATCTATCTATCTATCTATCTATCTATCTATCTATCTATCTATCTATCTATCAAAACGTTTCGCAAAAGTAAAGGCCTTAACAGCGGAGAAAAATGCTTAACTCAAATAAAGCAACTTAATTGTATTCTGGTTGGTCTTCCGTACGTTATAATTACAGCCTGATTATAAACACAAAATTACATTTCTTAATTACAGCGGGTCTTTTGATTAGTCAAAACGATACAATTTAAAACGCGCTAAAAAAAGATCTATCTCATAAGGAGACTTAAGGAACCTTATGCAGCTTTTAACTAATTTTATAATATTTAAAAAAATTAAATGTAAAAAATCGATTATAATTAAGAAATAACAAATAACTGTATTAAAAATTCATGTTTCATCGAAAAAATTTTGCTTTCAGAAAATATTTTCCATATACATAAAAACAAGTAAAAGCAAATAAAAGCATTTGAAATTAAATAATATCTTTGTTTTATTGAGTTTTGTATGTTACAATTCAGAGCTGATTTTCAGGTAGGGGGTCCAATTAAAAACAAAAAAAATGATTTATATTCCTCAAAACCTTGTGCTTTTAACTATTGTAATCATTAAAATAGACTCGATCGAATTTCTAGCATTTTCATAAAATTAGTTATGGGGGGGGGTAATAAATAAAAAAAAAATTTCTGCCATGACTTTAATAAAAAAAAACATATTTATAACAATCCCGATCATCTGTGAATAGTTCCTGAAATTTTCATTAGCATCCGACAATTATTTATATTTTTGCATGATTTACCAAATTAATGTGTGTCATACCAAAAAAAACGTGCTAAAAATTGTCTATGTGATTTTACTAGTTCCGGTGATACATAGAGAAACAAGTTTTGCTTTAACAAAATTTACAATGTTCTAAAAAGAAGGAAAAATTTAAAAAAATATTTACAAAAATACTTTCGCCTTCCTCTTAATAATAGCATAAGCATTTAGACGATAAAATTTTGTTTTCGGCAAGGTTGGCGTCTTTTTCATCAAGCTATGCTCTTTTTTTAGCGATTTCGTGGAGGTACCTACATAAATATGTTATAAAATCACTACAAAAATAGCCATTTCGTTTCAACACTTCTGGTGTCTTATCAAGTGATGGAGTTGAATGTAGAATAAAGGGTTTTAAAAGGTTCAATCAAACACCCCTCGCTAGAGGAAACGCTGTTACATAAGCTGGAATTACCAATCAAAATACAAATATATGAGAATTCAAAAATCTTGACAATGGACTTACGTTATAATAATTATTTAATGCTTTAATGTTAGGGTTAGACTAAA